AAGGAGGTCTCGCGAATTTATCGATACCGAGAGCACACCTATATTCCCGATATCGGATCGTTATACCGCCGATAACTGTACGCGATGGTGTTAGGTGTGCTTCCTTGGAAGATGGTGCAGTTGAGGTTTCCTAGTTTCTTCGCCAGGGATTTTCGGCTGTAACGTAGAGAACATCGGTTCACGGTGGTTCTCGCTGAAATACGATGTGCTACGCTACGCGCCTTTTTGAGGACAATGACCCCGTGCACCTTGCTTCCTTCCGAGTCTGTCTGACTTCGCTGCTGGCTTAACCGTTTTACTCGTTTTTTTCTCGCTCCGTCTGCTTGAAGAATGGCCCTCTTCTTTCCAGTTTATTTTGCGGTATTTTAATTAGCTGAAAGAATTTACCCCCGAGGAATAATTTTCCTCTCGCGCCTTGCTTAGATTTCATTTTTTCTTTTTGTGTTTTTTAGAAATGATCCTTTCAACGCGAAGAGGTACTCTTTTTTTTTTTTTTGGTGCAGTTCGTTGATCGGGAATAGGTGAATTGCCACGTACATAACGTACAATCGTACTATGACGTTTACAACAACGGGGGAGAACGTTGTGTGATGCTTTGGACAACGCCACGCAATATACAACACCAAAGTCATTAGTAGCGTTCCAACTAGACCGAATGCGGTTTTTGCGGTACTTCAATTTCTGTAGGTGTAGGTATACAGCGTTATTTATAGTTCGCAATTTGTCGAAGTGCTGTTTGTCGCGTTGAAACTAAATCTCTCTTTAAACATACAACAATGATACGTGGCTGCGGAATTTAGCGTTGAAACAGGATCCCCGTTCTTCTTTCCTTCTCCCTTACCATACAATTGTTTGCTTTGCATAATTCTTAACGCGACTCGTTACACCGAAACGTTGGAATTTTCGTTACACCCGGTGTATCATACTCCTTCGAAGTCTAATTTAATCACCTAAATAGAATCATCGCGATAACGTCCCTTTCGAAATTCGATTTTCCATCGCGTCTACACACGTTCCTCCATTGTCATTTCCCACTCCGACATCACGAGCATTATTAATCAGTGTTGCGGCTTGCTACAATGCATTCCGACATGCATAACACTGAAATATCCTCCTCTATGTTCTCCCCCTCTTCCATCATTCTTTTACTCTGTGTCACTTCTCTGCCTCAAGAGCAATCCTCTACTCGCGTCAAGCCTACTCCACCGTATCCCCGTATACAGGCCTAACGTAAGAATGAAAGGTTAAAGACATTACGAGCCGTAAGTTCCATACAATTATTATTTTTTCTCTTTGTCAAGTTAACCACTTGGTTACACGAAACGCGATTACATCGTACTGTTTCGTTTTCCTGTCCGTTCCCTAACGATACCTCGTTCCCCTTTGAACACACGTAAATCCCAGTTACCGAAACATCGATCGAACGTTTCAAGTTTATTATCCGTATTTCCCATTATTATCATCAGCGTGCAACCGTGAAGATCTACCTCTCCGAACAGTCCTCCTCTATCATTGTGGCCACAAATTATTCCCTTTGAATCGGCCGTGAAAGGTCGACACTCGGTATGCCGAGATACACGAGACACACCACTTTGATCACTTAATTGACTCGGTGGGGCCAGTAGTAATTAGCACGCGGGGTCTTAATTCACTTTTTATCGGTGACTTACTCCAGACAAGCGGAATTTCGAATATTTCGAGGGCGTCTCTGACGATTTCATTTCTCCTATCTGTTCGATTAATTCAATGTTAAGTGTCAATGTTAAAGTTCACTCCGGCTAATTCGTTCAATTTACCGGTGAGAAGTTATTCGAGCAATTTTATAGCAGACGTCTCGTACCTTGCGGTTAATTTTTTTTTTCACTTCTATCTTCCTCGCGAATTTTCTTCGTCCTAGAACTTAGCGAAAATTACCTAGCTCGTGTTTTCTAGTTTATTTCTAGCAGGAAAGTGGTTGAGGAATTTTTGCAGGCAAGATTTCTTCATCCCTCACATATTTCCATCTTCTCAAAGGTTGTCGCTTCCGGTCACGTTGCACGAATAAACTGTATTACTCCTCGAATTCGCGGTATATATCCTTTCCTTTGTGCTCTGCACCGGCGATTGGCCAGAATGTTTCGAATAGTTTGCGGCTGCATCAAGCTGTGGAGTTTCTCGTGCAGCGATCGCGTCGCAAAACATAATCTCGTTGATACGGCCAATATTCGAAGGGGAAAATCGTCCAAGTATCTTGCAGCTAGATAACGTACTTTTCTTTTTTCTCTTCCAAGACACGAAACATTATCGAATTGTTGTTCGGCGAACAGACGAAAACGTCTTCTACGTGAATTATTCTACAGTCGAAGCGTTTCAACGAGGAAACTCGTTTCTTTATACTTCTCGGAAGACGCAAAGTGTTTCGAAAACGACTTTATTAAGTTTAGCCTTCGACGTAACTTTCCCCGTCGACGAGCAGTAACTTTTAAATTTATTTTGATCGATGGCTGTTGCGTATTCTCTGTATCTTCCTTGATAAAACTATTTACGCTTGAAAATAGATCGAGCGTGATTTAATCTTCCTCCCACCCGAATATATTAATACTACCCTGTGTGTGTGTGTGCGTGTTTTCTCTGCTTTTTTATTCGAATAAAAATTACGAACGTGATCGATAACGTTGAAATTGCGATAAAATTGCCACATTTCCATTCCGAGTTTTCCTTCTTAATATTCCTTCCGTGGGTTCTTAAATCGTAAGAATGAGACGTCAGTTTCTTTTCCTAGATAAGAAGCTTCGTAATTCTCCCCTCTTCGCCTAATCTCCATCTTCGTTCCAGTCAAAATAACGGCATAAAACTTGAACCAAGGGGAAAAGCACGAATTCGCTCTCTTGCGCAGAACGTCTCGCGAATTCCAGCGGTGAAGCAACATGAAATAATAGAGGAATTGAAAAATTTCAGCCGGAGAGAAACGTGACAGCCAAGTGTAGAAGGTTTTTCGGTCGGTTTTCTCGGGGAGGGGTGGTCGATACCTTGTTATCGGAAAGCACTAGTCATCCTGATAAAACGATATGGTTGGATATCGAGATAAATTACAAAACAGCTCTGCCGTTGCGATTTTCGCTAGAATTCTACGGGCGATGTGGTTCCATTTCTGTTGTCACGGCAAGACACGAGTTCGCTCGTAAAGTCTTCATGTCGTGAACAAAGCCACACTGTAAAAATGGATGGTATCAGAAATTCCTTCGATTTATATTTTCCTCGTTTTACGTCAAACACACGCGCGGCAATATTTTTTCTTTCTGTTTTATTTCCATTTCATCCGGAATCTGCGGGAAACGAAAGAAACTCGCTCGACAGATGTGTATGTAATTACGCTTATCAGGCGTTCGTATAAAAAGAAGTCTTATTTTTTCCTCGTTCGCATTTCGTGCTTGGCCGCTAATGCGACAGTGTCATCGACATACAAGTTTTCAGGGTAGCCCGTCGCTAAGGGTAGAAAAATGTAAATCGAGCTAGCGATTTACCAGGAAGGGCGGTTGAAAGACGTGGAAGAAAAATGAGTCTGACGAGGTGGAAGAGAGACCTGCCGGAAAATTCGCTTTTTTCCTTAACACGTTCCCTCGCATATTCGCTCACCTTCTCCTGGTAGCTCGCGAGAACGTTAGACGCAAACAACTTGTCTAATGACCGAGCTTCGGAGAAATTCCTCGTAGCTTTTCCTCTATGTTCCACCAGGGTTACACGTTTTCGCTATCTGCTCGCTCGAACTTCGTTCCCATCGACAATGTTTTTAAGTACCGTACACCTTGTTAGAGCGGATCTATACGATCTCCGAGAGAATGGATCACCGCGTTTTCCGCGAATTTACAACTTCCGCTTTGTTTCGTCGGTGTCGCGGGAAAGTGGAACAATTTCTGTCGACGAAACGACGCGAGAAATTGTGTATTTTTTTTTTTTTTTTTTTCGAAGAACCGCAGGAAGATCGATCGTCGAACCGTGATTTCGAGAATTGAACAAGGAGATTCGAGGGTAAGGGATTAGCAGAAGGGACGCGGACAGTGAGAGATCTGAAAAGAATTTTGGCGAAAAATAAGAACAGAGTTAAATCCGTGTTGCATAAGCGTTCGTGATCCCGTGGCAAGCAGGGAGAGCAAGAGATAGGGTGGGAGTCCCCCACAGAGCAATAAAGAGCAGCTTTTCATTTTGCACTTTTTAGGGCGAGCATTCAAAGCGGAAAAAGATTGTGCCGGACTAATCCGCGATTTCTCTGTTTGACGCTAAAAGGGGAGCAACAATGAAAATCCGGGCAACGATGTGTGTACGACGCTGGTCGAGATAGCTCGTCGTTCAAGCATATTTTGGATAACGAGTCGGATGATCGTTGTTCTTTTATACGTTCACGCGTTGCGTGCAATGTGAAAATTTCGCGATCGAGAGAAAGAGGGACTTGAAGCTAACGTGTCCTTCCGCACCTTTCGAATCGTGTTCGTCGATAAAACTCGAGATCAATTATCATCCGTCGTTTAATCGTCGCTGCAATAATTATTTATAATGGACGTTTCGCTGCTATGGGAGAGAAAAGGCCACGGAAGGGAAAGCTGAGTTTTTTCGAGGACGACGAGAAGGGGCGATCGTTCTTTCAATTTCTGTGATCAACCGTTCCACGCATTGTTCGATAACGAATACCTCGACGACGAAGGGACGCCGATTCTCGTTCAACGAGCCTCTCGAAAATAACTGATCGATCGAGTTTTCCTTCGCACGAAAATCGATATATTTGTACGGTGGAATCGAGTGAAGAGAGAGAGACTGTATTACTCCGAGATGTACAGCGTGAAACGAGGAAAGATTTTCAATGAAATTTTATCGAGTACACTGTTAATCAATTGGAAGGTGCGAAACATCCGACGAATTATTATACTCGAGAGACATTGTTTCTCTTCTTAAATGGAATTGTGCAGAGTTTGAATGTTTCAAGAGGACTCGACGAACAGTTTCGAGAAATGGACAATGTTGCAAGGTGGAACCGGCGAGTGCGAGAAGAACGTGAAGCGTGTCAGGTGAGTGTTACTCGATAAAAACAGAAAAAAAAAAGAGGAAAAATATCGATAAATACAATCTGATAATTACCATTTCCAACCACGCTCAGTTTCGCTCAAGTAAAAGCCCTTTGAGTTTCTCATTTCCCGAAGAACGGCCAAGTTCCTTTACGATGAAATTATAAAAGTTGTAATTACAACGTTGCAATTAAGCGAAGAAACGCGGTTCTTTTTCCCCCCGGTAATGAAAACGATATAACAGCAATGATGACACACAGACACACATCAAACAACGTTCCATTAGGTGGAGACTTCTCCACGTCCGCGAGGAGCAAGAAAATACAATAAATCATAAAGTTAGATAGTTCTTCTCGCGGGAGGACAGCAAAAACAAAAGAAGAGAGGAGAGAGGGAGAGAGAGAAAAACAGAAAAACTTGCTTTGGCTCAAGGCAATTTTCTTCCAGTGAAAAAAAAAAAGGAACGACGAACCGCCTTGACCTCGTTCTACTTTTTTTCATAACACGTTGCACAGCTTCTTTGCTAGACGTAGGCACCTCGGAAAGACGAATCCACCCCGTACCCTCCTTCGTTTCTTCTTTGCTCGTTCTTTGCCAAAAGCCTTGTCGACCTCTCGAGGGCGACGACCCGGTTATCTATTAACCAGCAGATTTATCCCCCTTTTCTATGCGCTTTCGTTTTACTCCAGCGATACTAGACTAGAGAGATTGTAAAAAAATATTACTCTCCCCGGTAGTATGAATGAACACGAGAGAGATTCCTCTGCTAGCTTTTCACATTAAAGGACCGCATTGTGCACACCGAGTTTCTATACGCCGATTTTACCAGCGGGTAAATAAATGCACGTGCCGCGATCTCCGTCGTAAATAATGTATGAACAAATCAATTGGCAACCAGAGAAGAGCAACGGAATATTTATCAATTAATACGGAAACACAGTAGGAAGACAATTGTTTCGTTCTTTGCCACTCGTATTAATACTCTCTGTCTCTCCTTTTTTTATTCTTCACACTGTACGTACATAGAAATAAGCTTGTTTTCCGTATTTATCGCGGTTCGGCCCCGCCGCGTCGTTTAGTCACAGAAAATACAGCGCGTATTTTCACCCCACGGGCGCAGTTGGTACCGTTTGCTATAGAACCGGTTGGTCAACGGCTAAACAGCTAATAAACTTAACGACCCTATACGGCTGGAGACAGTAATTATAAAAGCAACGACAATTTTCCCGCGGCACAATATAAAACTGGAGGACGTAGCAGTAGGTGTACGAAAAAGCTTGCGCTCGCTAAGCGATTTATTTCGCCGAATTGTTTACGTTCGGCAAACTTTCGACCCTCTCTCGTTCTTCCCTACTTATCGCGACCGAAATTCGCGCGACTTCCACGCTGCGGAAACGTTTTTATCAAGATACGAACATTCACGACAAACATCCTCGTTGTCCCCGTAGGAAAAAAGGAAAACAAATACTTGTCGTCGTCGTATAGGTTTACTTGCTCGTTCCTCGTCGTTTCGACAGACGTTCTGTTTAGTTCGGTGTACACATCGCGCGTTCGCGTTTTTCACCCTGAGTTTCGGGAGGAATTTTGAAGATTGAACGATTTATTCGTAGTTGGTCAGGTACGTTAAACAGGGTGAATTTTTGAATAGTTAGTGGACTGTGTAAGTGATGCCTATCAATAGTGCACGATGCTCTCTCTCGTTCGTTCCACGGCTGGAAAAGCTGTTTGTAGACACCGCGAATCGATTAATTCCACTATTGTACCACAATAATTGAGAGGGGATGGAGATAGTATTAAACAAGCTGCAACTGACAGCTCCGCATGATTATAGTTACTATGTACAATCATTATTGTATACCTCATCCATCTCGTCCGAATAATCGCGGGATTATTCGCGTCCTCGTATATGTATATACGCGGTATTGTAACGTTAGGCGATCCATGTCAATTGTAAGCTCCTCAATGAGCTTCCGGAAGCTCGAATTCTTGTCGAGAAGGAAAGTAATATCTCGATCGAAAGGAAAGCTTAATCTAGGTTGATATTCTTAAATTAGGGATTACGTCACGTTGCGAGACCTCACGTCTCGTAATTTGCATGAATCATTAAACGTGTCTCGACTACGGTAGTTACGTCTCTCTTTTTCTCTTTTCGTCAGAAACATTTTCGTCCGTTCAATTAAAACAACGATACCTAATTAAAATAATAATGTCCCGTGAATTACAACGTCGGTGAAAAATTGTACATTTCATTAATTATCATTTCGAAATTTCGCGAAATTGCCGCCGTAACGGCTCTCCCTTTGCTAAACTATAATTAAACTCGTAATTAATAACGCGACGTAAAAATGTCTCGTTTTATACTTTCAGTCTTTCACGTTCGAATGTAACGTTCGCTCTAAACGTCCGTTTCTTTCCCGAACGTTAACTTCTACAGCTTCTAGCATTCGAAGAAGAAGACATAAAGAAAGTAGTAAAAAAGAGAAGCGTAGTAAACGTGAAAACAGCAGTTGTTTGTCTCGTAATTATTCTCGTGACATCTCGTTGCGTGTAATACGTATTACATTAAACAATAGTCCTTTCCACCACTCTAATCCGAAACTGTCGGCGAAGAGGTTATCTTTGAAATACCTGCATCGTCGCATCTGCTCGTGATAGACGTTTATTCTCGTACTTTAGATAAATTTCTACAACACAGTTTCAAGAAAAGCGCAAGCACTCCTTACGTAAAAGCACGTAAGGTCGGCTAATGTCCTTCGATATTAACGCGAGATATATAACGACAGGTAGTTGGCGATACCGTTACAGCGGACGCCATTTTGGTTCCACCGTAGATTTTAGGCTGGAAATTTCGAACGATGCGGGTGTATTTTCGAGTAATCGTGTTATAGTTTTAGTTAATTAACCGGCGGTGCAACGACCAGACTATTGACAGCCGGCAGTTGGAAGTATTTTTGCCCCGCCAATCAGGTTAATAACGTTTCTGCTCGACGATTGGCCGCACCGCGCGTTCGGGCGAGTATCGCGTGCACAAACGTATCGGCGTCACGTGTGTACCTACACATACACATCTACGGGCAATCTCATTAAAGGAACCAATTGTTTCCAACTCATATTCAAAGTTGCATTGAAACGCGGAGACTGGAGCGCACCATGGTTTCCCGTTTTACCCGTCAATTCCTTCCACTTTCCACGAAAATGAATGGGACGACGTGAACGACTGGGAAAACAAAATTATCGTCGTCGGACGATGCTTTTCCACGGGACGAATAGAAAACTGGTTTTTAAGCTCCTCTTTCAATTCCGCGTGTTACCAGTCCTCTCTCTCTCTCTCTTTCCTTTTCTCTTTGGGAAATTCTAGCGACGCTGTTACCGTCGAGTAGGCTTGAAACAGAAACTTATCGCCGGTGGAGTTTCCTTTTCAACGTATTTAATATCGATATCAATCATTCCGACGTTATTTTCTGTATAGTTTTTCTTTCAAGAATATTTTCCTCGAGGGAATTTTGTATACTTCTCGAATGTTTCCTATCGTTGCACGATCGTACAGAAGGTTTCCATAAATTTATCTCGGCGAGGATTAGAGTTTTTCGAGGTCAAGGCGAATTTTTGAAGTATCCCACCGCAAATTGTTCCTTTTCGATTGCGTTCTATTGATGAACCTACCGTCGAGTGCAGAGAACGCTTTTCATCCGAGAAAATGAATAAAGGACAACGGCCAACTGTGTCTGTCATTTATGAGCCACGATATTCCAATCAATTCGGTCACGCGAGGCCTTTTCATTACCTTCGACATTTTTCTCTGACGTTCAAGTTTCACCGCACTTACACACGTAATTCCACTGTACTTTTAAATCGTTCGACGAACGATCGATACGTTTATCCTATCCTTGTAAATTTCATCGAGTATCTACTTCGTTCTCCCGCTGATATTTCATCGAGATGGTTATCAAATTTATAGATTCACGGGTAGGAATTAATTTCCTTCACCGTGAAATAACGTGCTTTATCTACTCGGTAGAAAAACGTGGGAAATTTCGAAATCTCAGCGGAAGTTTAGAAACGGAATTTTATCCGAGAGCAACGAACGTTGGAAGCGTTTCATTTGCCTAACGATTGTAAACATTTGAACAGGTGAATTTATAACCAATTTCAATTATACCGGGTAATCTTCTTCACCGCAAGTCTCAAGTTACCGCGAAACAGTGCAAACTTGTGGACAAAGCTCGCAACACAGGATCGTCATACCAGCGACGTGTCGTTCCCTGAACGTGTATTGTAGAAGGTAGAATTATGAAACTTCCCTTCGCAGTGTTTCCAGACATCACAAACGCTATTCATTTCATTGTCAATGAAATCACGCGTTTTCTTCGCCGCGAATTTCTCCGAATGAGACGACTCACGCGTCGAGAACTTTAATATTTTCATTCGTTCAATGTCACTTTGCTTTTCATTTCACCCGTTTTCTTTTTTCCTCCCTCCTCGTATTTTAGTCTTACGGAGAGACCACGTTCTTTACGGGACGTTAAAACGTAGTCGCGTTTCATCTAATTGCGCGAAAACTCGCACTCTTTGTGTTGGTAATGCAATTTTAATAGACTGATGTCATTTCGCGCTGTTAATTCCGCAATTTCACATTTATTTCGCGTTCTCGTTAAATTCTCCGGCTGTCGTAACGAGGTCGTGTGATACTTATAATAAATACTGCGGTTCGATACGGGCGCCACGCTCCGAATAGTCCTGTGAGACTCTGAAAGGACCGTCCATTAAGATTTCACGAAATCTAAATGAATTTTCATGATTACAGAGTTGACGCAATTTATCGTCCGTTATTATGCACGCTTCTCGAATTTCACCCGCGTTAATATTAATCTTCGCGGTTTTTTCATTTAAATTTTAAATCGTCAACAGAATAATCCACGTATTAAGATAAAAATTGCACTTAGCTCCTATGCTTTTATCGCGTTGAAATAGTTCTGCGAGACTTTTGAAAGGACGGTCCATTA